ATAAATCTTGCCTTTCATTTGTGAAAGTATTTTTATCATTGTAATGTACACCCTTACTGAAATGAAAATGAGCACACACTGACTTTTTATCAGGAGGGGTTGGGGGTACATAACTTTGTGACAAAGGGACTATATAAATATATTGGACAAAGAACATGGGTATACAGGGGTATATATGGTGTTCTGTCTGCATTTGTACTCTTTATTACTACAAGAGCTGCTGATAATTCTTTTATGTGTTGTAGCTATCTGGGAAAACTTAAATTAGATCTCAATATTCGTAATAATATATCTAATTTTGAACACGTTGACCTGAATATTTGTTAATACATGCCATGAAAGCTACATGCTGACAAGCAGAGCTTTGCAATTTTGCATCAGTTTGCATGTTCACTGCATCCTGAGCTATTTTCCTTTTGAAGGATGGCAGCTGATGAGCATTCTGCCCTGCCATCCCTCCATGGGCAGGTGAGCTCCTGTCACTCAGCTTCAGATACAGCTTTTTTTTTTTTTTACAGAAGAGGCTTTTTTCAGCAGTGATCCCATGTAGGCTATTCCTGTTTGGAGAAGATGATTCTTTAGCTAAAGATGTGCAAATCTCCATGCAGTAGTACCTTTTTTTTCCTTTTACTGAAAGTTGCTTTACCACCAATAACAATATTCCCTTACTTTCTGTCTTTAAGCATATTTATTCTGCAGTGACTGCAGCTCAGATGTATGGGTCCAGCCTTCAACAGCCTGGAGAGTAAGGAGGGTGGAAAGTGTCAGCCAGCTGGGTTAGGCATCCTGCACTGAGCTCTCTGCAATGTGGCTGTTGGGAGCAGTGGGATGTACTTTGAGTCCATGTGAGTTACAATCACTGGAAGGTGGATAAATCCTTCAGATTTTTTGTCTCCCAGCTCCCTTTACCTATTTCAGCTCTAGGCTTGTAACTCCAGGAAATCTTTAATGCAAATTGTTTATTTGTGACCCCTTGCTTATATTGCTTACATGAACTCCAAAAATGAGTTAAATGTTAAACATAAACAGCTTGTGAAGCTGTTCTGTCCATTGGAAAAGCCACAACTGTTCACAAAGTGCATCTTCTACCTCCTCTGGCTGATACTATCAAACAGGATAGTGTCTTCTGAATGCTCTTGTATTTATCACTCATAATGCAGACCATAACTGCATACTCTATTCTACATTCTACCATAAACAAAGCTGCTGTGCGCTCTCAAATTCTTTTGGAAACATCTCATTTGGTCTTGTCTACCTCTGGCCAAAACTTAAATTTTATGTCATCAAGACATTACAGTTCAAAATGTTAAATCACCTAATTACACAACACATCAAGGTTTATGCCTGATGTTGATGGCTCACTCACAATCATGTTGAGGAAGCTTAAAGCTAAGATGAATTCTGACTATTTTTGTTAGTGCCCTGTATGACATTACTTAAATGGCATACGACCTTTAAGTCATTACCATTAGCTCCTATAAACCAAAGAAAACCATAAATTAAAGAAAACCATGTAATACAGTTCTCTGCACTCCTTTGCTAATGGCATAAAGATAACAGGAGAGTCTTCTTATAAATACCATTTTTCCCTTCAAATGACAGTTTTAAAGTAAAAAACTTATGAATTATTGTGTAAAATTTGTAATATTAGGAAACTGCACTAAAGAGACTATAAGCTGAAGAAACTCTGTCAAATTTGAGTTAGAGCTCTGAGACATGGAAGTTATATGGCAGTTTGCTCTCACACCTAAGCCAATAAGAAATGAGCAAGCACTATTTTTATCATGTAGTGAAAAAGGGAAACTTTCATTTATAGCTAAACCATTTCTTCTGCCATGAATAATTTTAACAGTCAAATTCCTTACTTACAAGTATTCATTAACCTATGTAAATATACAGAACTGTAGGCATCGAAAGCACAGAGCAGGTTGACAATTCAACATGGTAATGAAAACTACAGAGAAGTAAAGCTTTTTCTTTTTCAGTCATCTTCTCACATTTTTACCATCCTGTTGTGTTTCATATATATTTAACTCTTTCCTTGCCAACAGTGCTCAGACAGCTGGCAACAGGTACTTCCTCAGCTACCACAGACTCTCATTAATGAACCTGTGGGAGCTGATCTGCATCAGAGCCTCCAGACAAAACTACCTGATTAAGAAAACATCTGCTCAGATGTCTGATCATTGCCTATTAATTTCTTGCTCTTGAAGGTTTTTTCCACATAAATGAGCACTGTTGTGATTCTCATACTTAATTTATCGTGTCTTACCCACTGCTGAGCTAATATATCATGTCACCCACATGCACGAGGCAAAGTCCCAGCAGCAGAGGATGAGCTGACAGGGAAAATGGAGGTTCTTCTCAGGTACAGCATTGATTGCTCTCTGGGTGCATTCTCCTGTAAAGCCATGATGGAGCCACGACTGTCCCTTAAGGGGATCCTTTTCTTATCACAGGTTATGGGACATCCAGGACAACAGCACCACAAAGGGGAAGGAGTCACTGGGATCCCACCCAATGGACAGCCATGACCACGCAGAAGTAGGTTTTGTCCCTTGGAAGGCAGCAGCAGCACAGGGGCTCCTTCCTGAGAAAGGGTCATTCTTCACCCATACCTGCTAATCCAGAAGCAGAAGCCAGCACAAGCCTGAAGGCAGATCTAGTGTAGATGAGGAAGGGGAAGAAAGGGAGGGAGGGTATCTAATACTCATGGTTACTTGTTATAAGGGCTTTGACTTCACATTGTAGGAGCAGCTTGGAAAGCTGAGGGTGGTATTTTCTATATCCATACTCTTATCTTTCTGTTTATATGGGAGATATGCTAGTGCTATTTGCATATAGCAGAATTTTCACATCCTGACCATTTCCAAGAGATGCCCACATGCTCTGCATGTGAACTAATGCTGACGAGTAGTTCTCCACTATCTCTTATTCTGGAAGGGGGAAAGGGGCTGTGGTTTGTGGGGTAAATATCAAGGCACTCATGCATGTTCAGTGCACAGGGGTACAGACCAATGCCACTGCCATGTCCTGCCAGGTCTCCTCTGGGCTGAAGCTGTGCAACACTTGCAGGTGGGAAAATGCTGGAGGGCTCAGGAGGATTTAGACTTGCCCTGTTGTTGCTTAGCAGAAGTTTTTTGTGACAAGAGGGGAGAGAATGTCCTTTTTAGAAGCCAGGTTGTCTCTTTTTCACTTAATTTGAAGGACAGTTTAAAAAGTTGTGATCATTAGGCTTGATTTTGAAGGGCAGAGCTGGGTAGATCCCTTTTTATTGAGTTCTGGTTTGGTTTGAAGCCAGTGGTGTGGTATGTTTCTGTGTTTAATCCAAGGAAATTGAGCTGCTGAATGATTTTTTCTGACATGCTGAGGACCAAATGTTCTGGCACGGGTTTGTGCCAGAGATGTGAGAGGTGATGAGGCTCCAGAAGCCGTTTTTTGCTCACAAGGTGCCAAAACAGATGCATTTCTTTGATACAAGTAGTTGTTGGGTACATGAGCTCTATATGTGTAGACAAATCAGGCATAGTGGTGATGCCAAAAGCACTTGTGGCATAGCTGTGAATGCCCTTCTGACAAGTATTTTGATTTTCAAATGCAGATGAATATTATCCTTACAGGAAAAGGTCACAGGGATAGTGTTTAAAGCAGATGCCCTCAATTTACAGGACAGATGCACACACATGATTGCAAGCAACACACACTTTCCTTAACTCACATTAGTAGGCTCCACCCAGGTCTGGAATCACATGTGATATTCAGTCTTCAAGTCCATTTATCTTTGGGCTGAGTGTGCTGACTGCAATCCAGCAAGCAGAGGCCACTGCTGCTGTCAGGTGTACAGATAATGGTGCTTCTGGAGCAGGACTGAGGCCAGCTATTTTCACACAACACAGGCTGCCAAACAGCAATCCAGTGGTGAAAAGCTCCTGATATCTTTGCTATTATTAGAAGCAGCCCACAAAATTACAAAGGTGGTAGATGAGCTGAACGTAGAATCCTGCTCTCGGGGACAGTCAGTGAAACTAGCAGGGGATCAATTTGAAACAGATAAAAGAAAGTACTTCTTTAGCAGTCAGTAGTGAGCTTCAGGAACTTGCTACCGTGCAGGGCTGGAGAAGCTGACAGTATCAGCAGGTTTAGAGGGGATTAGACAGATTCAGGGACAACAAGCCCATTAAAAAGATAAGGCAGGGACATGCCCTCTGTGGTATCTATCACATCAGCTACTCAGCTGCGATGCCAGGGGAGCACAAGGGGAAGGGGCTGCAGAAATCAGCCAGGGCTGCACACACTCACTAAAAAACATCTCTCTTCCTGCACTGTGTGACAAATTACTGGTCCAAGCCAGCTTCATATATTTAATTTAGAAATGAGTTTTATCCCCAAAGCACTGCACGAGTATTCAGTCACTACAGCATCCTAGATTCCCGTGAGCTGACTCATGAGCTCAAAGCGGCACACTCAAGCAAGAACTGGGATTCTTCTTCATTCCAGGCTCTGATCCTTGGTCCACCAATTCCTCGCTGCATGGGCAGTCCCATTACACAGCTCCTTGCCAGTCCCCAGCACTGCCCCCTTGCTGTGTACTGTGCTAACACATATGCCATGTTACATTCATATTACATTGCAAAATCCTAAAGGAACCAAGGGAACAAATCTTGCATGGGGTGCAGAAAAATATGAAGACAGTGAAAATTAAATGCTAATGAAATACTGTACAAGTGAAGAACACAATAGCATCCCATCCACAGCTCTAAAAGCTAAGGATAATTCATGTGTAGTGCAGAAATTACATCAGTTTTGAGCTTTCTTAGATTATTTGAGACTGAAATATTAAACTTCCTCTGCCCTTTGCATTCATTCTTTCCCAGCAATGTAGGAAGTAAGCCAGCATGCCAACTTTTAAGCATAAAATAAAATGAAATTGAAACTGATTATTATTTTTAAGCAATTGCTCTTGAGGCCATCCAACAATAGTGTTTCTAAAGCAGTCCTACCTTTGTTTTCCAACTTGAGCTCCTCTGCTAGTAAGCTGTCTTGTCTGTTTCCAAGCACAAATGCCAGAAATGAGAGGATCAGGGCATCCAAGATTCCAATAATTGCCAGGATATACGCCCAGCGGACTGAACAAGCCCCCAGCGTGTACTTGTCTGTCTTTTCACCACACATCCGTTTTACCTCATCTGAATCCCAGCCATCAGGAAAAATCATACAACCCAGGACGAGACAGGCAGCTTGGAGAAAAAAGAAAAGGAGAACAATGGGATAATGAGACTAAGCTTTCATTTTGATGAGAACCTACAAAGTTATCATTAGAGCAATAGACTTTTTCATCCTGAACTCCAAAGCTAGTTTACAAGAAAACAAGTCATGGAATTACATGCTGTGATTAAGTATTTAATATAAAAACCTAAGATGCAACATCAGTTGCACACCTTGCTTAAAAAGCTGTTACATCCTGAATCCCTGGTCAGGTTTTGCATCAGTACAATCACATTTTCCTTGTGTTACCAATTTCTTCACTGCAGTATGAAAGGGCCTCACAACACCAAAAGGGAAAATGGTTAATAACCTGGATATTCAAGGGTAACACTGGGTTACTGTCAACTTGTCAGGCAAACAAACAGTTTAAAAGAGAGGAAAAAACCTACTTATCATTTCTGGTTATCTGCCCTTTTATCCTAACCCATGAACACTGGACTTCCTCACTATCCACCCAAAGGCAGAGCTTGATACATTCCAAGTGTTGCCTCACAGAGGGCAGCTCCATCCCAGCGCCTGTCTGGTCTGTGCTAAGCACTGTGTAGCCCTTCCTGATGACATTCCAGTCATGGGGGCTATCCCACCACATCTGTAACTGCAATGACATCAAAGCCCTGTGACTGCACACAGATCTCTAGTTCCTCCTGCTTGTCCTCCATACTGCAGGCATTGGTGTACAGATATTTTATGGAAATATTTGATGGTGTCAGTGTCCCAGCAGGGGTGCAAAGGGATCCCCCACAGTCCTGCCCTGTGGTTATGTCTTTGGCTGCTTGTGCTTTGAGACGCTCTCTTGAGCTTTCTTTTGTTACTGGGGTGGTTGCTATAGTTCTCTCCTTCCACATCTTATGTCTGTGAAGCCTGGCTATGTCCCCATTCTCCTTCAAATCCAGTTTAAAGCTCTCTCAATGAGCTCTGCTAACTCCTGACATAAAATTCTTTGGGACAGGTGGACCTTATTTGTTGCTAGCAGGCTTGGTGTTGTATAAACTGACCTATGATCAAACATCTGCAAATTTTTCTGGTAACACCTGTCTTGAAGCCAGGTGGAGTCACCTTCAGCAGGAGAGGAGAGCATACAAAAATAAAGTAGCATAAAAAAATTTAAAAAATAATGATTATTGTCAAATGGGTTAATTTCTTGGTTTTTATTGCACTTAAGAGAATTGGAAAATCCATTTGCTTTCAGTAATTACTTGTATTGCCTTTTCTGACTTGGAAAGAGACACATTTCCATCATTATCCCTTCTATCTTAGTATGGCTGATGAGATACAATGGATCCTAAACCTGATTTTATAAGTCTTAATATTATATTGATGCAATATGCTCAAAATTGCAGGTTAATGTGCTAATTCAGAAGAACGCATTGTGTGGCTTTCAGCCTTTAAAGTTTTTGTTGAGTCAGACCTCTGTTTGGAAATGACAGTTTATGCACCAAGTAGTTTGTGCCACCAGCAGCTGCTGTCACTGTGGGATTGGTTTCTTGTCGTGACAGGTTCCTTGTCTTTTCTGGACAAGCACAGGCATTATCATTTTACATACCTCTAACACCCACAAAATAAAAACAGACTTACACTGGATCAATATGATAGAACACTGGAAGAGGGATGTGTAAAGAGGGTTCAGGAATGGTAGTTTCCTTTTGCCAGCTACACAATAGCTGTAGACAATGTCTTGAAAAAATATCTGCAGAAAACATCTGGCATGGGGTAAAAGATGCAACCAAGTTCCTCCTGAACAGCTAATTTGTGTGAAAATAAAATAGCTTATGATACCTTCAAGGACAATTAGGCTTAGAAACATGGATGATTAGATAATGACCAATCTACTCAGAACATGCAGGTTGGACAAATTGTAAATTACGTATTGCCTGCCTTAACTCATTTACACAATTACATAAGATCTTTCAAAGACCTTAGAGACGAACAGTAAAATAATTTATTTTCTTGAGCTGCTTAAACACTCTTCCAAAAAGTGGAGTTGCACTCACATTTAATAGTTTCTCTCATACTTGCAAGGAACTCCACTCAAATGATGCAGCAAATCTGCAACCTTCTTGTGCTCATGAAAATGTCCATATTTACCCAGCTAACTGTTGACAAAGTTTCATTTAGTATATCACAGCAAGTACCAAAGCCAGTTTACTTTTATTAATTATCCTCAAAATGTGAGAAAGCTTAATGCTCAGTTAATGATCAATAGATACGAATTTTTCTGCTAATTGTGCATGAATAATTAGCAAATACCAACATCTCTGCTGTTTTTTATTACACAGCAGATCAGACACATTCTTAGTACTTCCTAAAAGTAATTTAACTTTGTTCTTTTGCACATAGGTAATTAAAAAAATGGACTCTTATCTCAGGAATTCAGTGTACAGCTTCCCAGCTGTGCTCCTCAGATTTCCAATTAACTCATCTTTCCTGAATTTTGTTCCTGCATTCTTTGATATACTTGCTTAAATTTCTGGAGTCATTCTGTTGATTGCAGTTGGACTTCTCTTGGTAATAAGACACACAGGTAAATGGTGTCTGGACTAGATTTCTTTGCATAAAGACAGATACCAAGGAGGGGTTATTATTATTTCCTCTTTTCCCTATACAGTTAAGATGCTTTGTACTAGATGACTACTTAGCCAACATCTTCAGGTGCAGGAATCACACCTTACCTGTAGAGGGTAACATAAGTAAGAATAGTCAGCCTTGAGTCTTTGTTGAGGAAATATTTTGCACTGAATGCCTTTAAGAACACAGACTTGCTCAATAATATAAACAGGTAATGATTATTTTATCAGCTGCAAGATTGAAAAGACAGACATGAAATCCACCTACTGTTCTACTTTGCATTGCTGGAAATTTTTACATTGAAATTCTGCTACAGAGGATTAGAAGACTTTTCTCTAAAATGAAATTGCTTTCAGTTTTATACAAATTTGTGAACTGGAAATAATTTTATGCAATTTCAGTGAAATTGCTAAGAGATGATTTTATAAGACTAACGTGGGTCCTATATCTTTGTCTAACTTTGACTGCCTATAATGGCAAAGTTACCGAAATGGAAATTTAACAAAAGTTACTGCTGTTTTGCTACTAAGTAGTAATAGTGTTCTAATGAATTCAGAAAGTTTTGGATTTGAAAAGTTCAAAAACAAAATGAAAACCCTTAAATCATCAGTTCCTATGGATTCTTTGATTCAGGTAAGAAAAAAGTTAAGTCTGTACTGGTTAAAAGCAGCCTTCTCTGTGTGATCTGGATACATCAGATCAGCACCACCTTCCTGACAGACAGCCCAGCCCAGGACCTCTGTAGCCAAGGGCCTTCATGATAAATAGCAGGGGAGAATTGATAAACTACTGACACCATTCAGAACCATTTGGACAACTGTAACACTTAGAAGAATCATATCCACATTGTTTTCCCTTTGGTTGCTTGAGAAAGCTCCTGGCAGGATTATTATCTCTGTAAAGGTTGGCCCTGGGTTTCCTCCATTTCTTCCTCTCCTGTGACAACAAGGTGACTTGCTTGTGTTGCAAGGGACTTTAAAAGCCATCTGGTTCACCCACCACGTTGCTCAGAGCCCCATCCAATCCAGCCTTAAACATTTCCAGTGATGGTATCTATAAATTCTCTGGGCAACCTCTTCCAGCACCTCACCACTCAAGCAGCTGCTTTTTCCTACATATTGGAGTCTGGTGAAGCTTTTCAAACTTTAAAAAAATGATTAATAAACAGTAGTTTAATATGCCTTATATATTTGCTTTTCTGCTTAAACAGTCTTTTCTCATGTGAACAGCTAACAGGAACTGTCACATAGTTCTCCTCTAGGGCTGTGAGTGACAAGACAAATTATTCATACTAGGAGAGAGAGCCCAGGGTTTTTACCCCGTGGGATGAAAGGATGCAGATACAACACTTTCAGAGATTGGAAACAGGCACTGAATTGTTGCTGGCACTGACAGACTTGTGACTCTGACCAAGCTAATATTATCACAGCCTGTGCTCTGTGCATGAGCTCAAATGGTAATTAGCAAACAAGTAGCTCACGGTCCTATGGTTGTGCCAAATATGGTGACAAATTAATATGATATCATTGCATGAAATGAGGTTCTATTTATAAAAAAAGCTGACTGCTATGCAGGAAACCAGTGCTGAGAAATTCCCGCTGGCAGGACTCCTCTCTCATCCTCATTCTTTTCCTGACAACAGACCAAATTTGCTTGTGTGTAGAGTATGACGATGGCAAGTTTCTTGATAAAGGAGTAAAAGAAAAATGGAAGGGGAATTATGCAGACCATCTCTTTTCTTTCCATGCCCACACATGCAAGAGTCTTCAAACCTCTGTGGTTCCAAAATGCAAGAAGTTTATTGTTTCCTTACCACTGCCTAAATGCTATTTACAAAAACAGTGATCCACTAAATCTCCAGTAAACTGAACAGAGTTTTTTCCAGCCATGTTGGTGATTAGGATTAGTCTTTCAGGAGCTTTTAGCTGGGAAAGAAGGAAATGCTGAGTGGAGGTGGCTGAAGACACAGGGTCAAACACAATCCTGAGTGAAGACAAAGGCTACACACTTATCAACTGAGACTGATCCAAGTGATGTGGACTGCACTTCTGAGTGGGATAATAATCCTCTGTGTTTATATTTATGTCATGGCTTTGAGAAATGTGCAATTTTGAAGTGAAAGACACAATTCTTTCAATTTATTGATTCTATCCACAGAAATAGTTGTGCTGCATGCAATCAGAGTATTTCTGAATGAACCTTGAAGTTACTTTCAAAAAGTTATTCAATGTTGAATGGGCATCTTTAAATTCT